AAAAAAACCCCAAAAAACCCCCAAAAACCCCCCCAAAAACCCCCAAAAACCCCCCAAAATCCCCCCAAAAAACCCCCAAAAAACCCCAAAAAACCCCCCAAACCTTCCGCGAGCTCCCGAACTCCGGGGCGCAGAAATTCCGGTAATACTGCAGCGCGGCGGCGTTGCCGTAAGCCGTCAGGTAGGTCATGTAGCGATCCGGGCATTTGCCGACGCAAATCTGGGGGAACGCGGAGTGGGGGATGCAGCTTCGGAATCCCTCGGGAATTGCGGGAATTCCGAAAATTGCGGGAATTCCGAAGGGGCCGGGGGGGTGGTACCTGCGTGGTCGGGCATTGGAATTCCAGCAGCACCAAGGGGCTGGCGCACTTGACGATGTCGAAGTAAAAAAGGAAAGGTTTTTTCCTGCCAAAGGAACGGAAAACGCGGGGTTTCGGGAAGGTTTCCCCGAGGAACTCGGGGCGTTTCCGGCGGCGCGCGCGGCACTCACTCGTTGGGGGTCCCCTGCTGCCCGCAGAACCGCCCGCGGCTGTCCGTGGGGTGGATCACCTTCCGGGGGTCTCCGTGGGTCCAGGCTGGGGGGTAGAGGATGGTGAGACCCTCCCCGTGAAGCCCCCAGACCCCCCCATCAGGTCACCCCGAGCCCACCGGACGTACCCACCACGCCGACCACCACGTAGCCCACGATGGCCACCAGCAGCAGGACGCAGCAGACGATGTCCGTGCAGCCCCTGGCAGCGGGGACAGGAGGGGAAGGGTGGGGACCCCGGATTTGGGGACCCCGGATTCGGGGACCCCGGATTTGGGGACCCCGGATTTGGGGACCCCAGATTTGGGGACCCCAGATTTGGGGACCGAGGATTTGGGGACCCCGGATTTGGGGACCCCGGATTTGGGGACCCCGGATTTTGAGACCGTGGATTTGGGGACCCCGGATTTTGAGACCGTGGATTTGGGGACCCCGGATTTGGGGACCGAGGATTTGGGAACGCAGATTTGGGGACCCCGGATTTGGGGACCAGGGATTTGGGAACGCAGATTTGGGGACCCCGGATTTGGGGACCCCGGATTTGGGGACTCCAGATTTAGGGAACCATGGATTTCGGGACCGTGGATTTAGGACTGTGGATTTGGGGACCGAGGATTTGGGAATGCAGATTTGGGGACCCCGGATTTGGGAATGCAGATTTGGGGACCCCGGATTTGGGAACGCAGATTTGGGGACCCCGGATTCGGGGACCGAGGATTTGGGGACCCCGGATTTTGGGACCGTGGATTTGGCGACCGAGGATTTGGGACCGTGGATTTGGGGACCGCGGATTTGGGAACGCAGATTTGGGGACCCCGGATTTGGGGACCGCGGATTTGGGGACCGCGGATTTGGGACCCCGGATTTGGGGACCGAGGATTTGGGGACCCCGGATTCGGGGACTGCGGATTTGGGGACCCCGGATTTGGGGAACCGTGGATTTTGGGACTGTGAATTTGGGACTGTGGATTTGGGGACCCCGGATTTGGGAACGCTGATTTGGGGACGCCAGATTCGGGGAACCATGGATTTCGGGTCCGTGGATTTGGGAACTGTGGATTTGAGGACTGCAGATTTAGGAACCACAGATTTAGGAACCAGGGATTTGGGGACCCCGGATTTGGGAACCCCGGATTTGGGGGACCCCGGATTTGGGGGACCCCGGATTTGGGAACCCCGGATTTGGGGACCCCGGATTTGGGGAACCCCGGATTTGG